TATATATATATATATATATATATATATATACACTGTATATATATGACATGTATAAATCTGCCCAATTTCGTTTTTTGATAAACCAACAATAAGAGCATAACTATAAAAAAATATTGAAGCAGCTTAAGTCCATAGATTTCTTCATTTAAACATGATGTTAATTTCTGAGATATCGTCAACAAATAGCAGATACATTGTTAAGCTGGCCACTGTCAACACGTCAGAACCATAATGGTTAATTCAAAAGTGGATCAATTAAATACAGTATAATTGTCTTTAGGATGACTTTGTCAAGTTGATGGTTCAAATTAATAGCTGTATGAAATCTTAAAACCCAACTGGCTTTGGAAGAGGGTCGATTTTGTTTCCTAAAAACATAGAAAGTGAGCAGTCAGTGTATAAAAACTACTTAAACGCCCTTCAGCCTTAGTTTTTGTGAAACTTTATAGAGTTGTAGGTAAATGGAAAATAGAGAACTGGTTCACCATTTTTGTTTTGCTGATATTAAGATTCCAACCCCATAACAATCCTACAATTAGTTTCTCTTTAAAGTGTGTCTCACTATCCTGTGAATTCTAATTAATTTAGAAGAGCTGGTAATAGTTTTAGATTCCCATTCATATACCACAGAAATATATGTCTCTGCCCACTGAGTTGTAAAGCATGACACTTGACCTATTGCAGTACATAAAACTGTCACCCAAACATTCACTTATTGTTTTCTAGGAAGATGAAGGCCGTTTTAATTTTACCGGCTACAACATGAGTCAGTGTATGCCAACGAAGGAGGCCGTTAAGAACGCCGTTCCGACTCCGAACCCCCAGCCCTCAACTCCAAAGGACATTGATGCTATGAGGAAAAAGTTTGTGGACAGAGCCAAGAGGATAGACACCATCTCCCGGGCGGCCTTCCCGCTGGCGTTTTTGATCTTCAACGTCTTCTACTGGATCACGTATAAGATCATTCGACATGAAGACGTCCATAAACAGTAACATGGACTCAAACCTCAGCTGATAATGTTGTATTTTTCCTTTTCTCAGATTGAGAAATGCTCGGGAAACTGCCTGCCTAGAGCCACCATGGCAGCAATGGGGGTGTTTTTTCAGGGATAAAGTTCAGTGTTTATGCATCATAAAAGTAAAATGCTCACGTATCTGACAATGAAAAGGCTCTTGAATCACAGATGCTTTGTTTGTTCTTGTGTGCTGCCTAGTATCTGATACAGACTTAGTAAGTCGGCGAAGAAGACGGACCAAAACCCTCTTGAATCTGGCGTGCTCTGGCATCACTACAACCAAGGAGAACGTTCAACATTCCATGGATTTGTGACTGTAAGCTAGCGTAGATCCTTTTTTTTTTAAAGAAAATTTCTTATCAATGATGTTTAAACTGTTTTATAGTGTACTATTGTTTTGGCACTTCTCTCTGTTTTTCTGTTTAAAACCTGTTCTTACCAAGCAGAGCATGTATAAATGTATTAAATATTAAGGAGCTGCACATGTCTCAGGTATCGCTGTAAAAAGAGATGGAACTCTGGGGTGGAGATGTATAGTTTCCATTTCTATGAAATACCTGAAGCCTTAGATATTAGATTTGGTTTGAAAGAAGTGCTACGCTCTTAGATATATCTACCAAGTATTCACCTGATACCTGATGTCACAAAAGGTTTTAAGCTTTGTTTAAGTGGTTTTAGGTTCTGCCTATCATTTTTGTGTTTCTCAAAGAAAGCTTGCCACAGGAGGCTTTCTAAACAAATGTATAACTGGACCAAACTTTGATTGTACATTTCTCTGTGTTGTCATATGCATATTAATTATTACACCAGGTAATTACTCCAGGTATATTTGGTACTCTGTTTTGTAGATTTAGTTAAATTGGATATTTATTGTAATGTCTGAAAGATCATGTTTATAAAGTTATATCTTCGTGTAAAACTATTCACTTTCTAATGCAGACTATTTTTCTTCATTTTGAGAATTTGTGGAGACCATCAACAGTGAAGTATGGATCTACAATTAACAAATTAACAGAACAAAGTACAAGCTATACAAAGCAGCTAATGGTAACTGCACTCCTTAACAAATTATTTTCTTAAATGCTATTCATGAAGAATGATTATTTACTGACCTGTATATAAATAAAAGTGACTGTGCACGATATTTACTTTCCCCTCTTCTGGAATCTATAAGGAGGTCAATATTAAACGCAGCCTATATTAAGTGCAAAAAAAAAAAAAAAAAGATTTATCTGCAAGCCCATATGGCCCATATGATAGCACAAGATAAGACGGTGTCTTGTCAGTGAACATGAAGCAGACATTTCAAAAACAAAAAAAACTAAACAACAAAGAGATGCATAAAGCATATTACTACAATAAATACATGCTTAAACACATAATAATTGTCAGTTCCCAATTACATTTTCTACCCATACTTGTTTCTTTAAAGAGTGTTTTCATTGATGGAGATAATCTGACACAAAAACATTTAAATCAGATGCATATTACAAACTGAAGACATTTACCTTGCTCTATTTCTGTTGATTTTACTTATGAGTTGTCAGTTTTGGCAGGTTGACTGCTATAAATTAATGTTGCAATATTAAAGGGGCATAAATGACCAGCATCTTAAGAGCATTTAATGCACATACAGAGAAAGAAACAGCTTTATTATCCCCTGGTGAATTTGTAAGTTCCTTACAGATAAATGGAAGGCCTTGATTAATACAGGAGGTCATTAGTGGTGCGCCGTCCCCCTGTTTCTATTTGTGTAAAAAAAATATATTAGTTTTTATGTAAATACCTACTCAATGTGGATATGGTTAAACAAATACTCACAAATAGCCTTTAAATAGTGTTTACATTTACAGGCATAATGTTCTAGATTATTTCTGTTTTAAATTAGTTGAATTTTTGTAGCTTTAGACTATTTTTTTAGATCTTTCAGAGCTAAAATAAAATCCTGAAAGATTTATCTACTACATGAAGGATTTTACCTACTAATAATTTGGTGACCTGTCTGGAAAAAATGTTCAACTATTCCTTTAAGGTGGAAATGAATATTCTGTTCTTATTTTTTGTATTATTTGCTCAGAGGGTCTACATAGCAAAAAATATCGAGGAATATGGAAAAGACTCTTCTCCTCTCAAACCAATAAGTCAGGGTGATGACAAGAGCTATGCATCACTGGGGGGCCTCGGGTGATGAAGATATGATCTGACAGTGGGTATTCAAAGAATGTGCGATGATAATGGACTTTACACTGTAGTTCAAAGATTCTGTCACTTTGTGTTTGACTACGGGCTGACTGGCAAATTGAGATGAGGAAAAAATGTGGAAGAAATCACTGCAATGATTTATATTATCCATACAGTGTGATCAGTTATGATCTTGAACTGAACGATGTAAAATAATGTGGCTGAGACTGAGGCAGTGGTCGAATTATTTATAGCTGATGGAAATACATTATATCATACAAAATGTTTTTACTTTTTTGAGTAAAGCTAAAATCTGAACAACATACAGATTTCGTGATAGAAAGGCTGAAGATAGTAGAAGGGTTGTAAAGATATTAATTGGTTTCCTGTTAGGTACAGTGAGGAAAATAAGTATTTGAACGCCCTGCTATTCTGCAAGTTCTCCAAACAGAAATCAAAGAGTGGTCTGAAATTGTCATATTAGGTGCATGCTCACTCTGAGAGACATAATCTAACAAAAAAATAAAAATACAGAAATCACGGTACATTTTTTAAAACTATTTATTTGTATGATACAGCTGGAAATACCTTTCTATCAGCTTGAATTCTGATCCTCAAAAACCTGTTAGTCTGCCTTCAAAATGTCCACCTCCACTCCAGTTATGATCCTAAATTAGATGCACCTGTTTGAGGTCGTTAGCTGCATAAAGACACCTGTCCACCCCATACAATCAGTAAGAATCCAACTGCTAACATGACCCAGACCAAAGAGCTGTCCAAAGACACTAGAGACAAATTTGTAAACCTCCACAAGGCTGGAAAGGGCTATGGGAAAATTGTCAAGCAGCTTGGTGAAAAAAGGTCCACTGTTGGAGCGATCATTAGAAAATGGAAGACTTTAAACATGACTGTCAATCTCCCTCACACTGGGGCTCCATGCAAGATCTCACCTCGTGGGGTCTCAATGATCCTAGGAGAGGTGGGAAATAAGCCCAGAACTACACAGGAGGAGCTGGTCAATGAAAAGAGCTGGGACCACCGTTTCCAAGGTTACTGTTGGTAATACACGCCTCTCACAGTGGTCATCTTATAACAGGATAAAGGATGACTCCTCATGCCATGTCTCTCTTGTTCATCTGTTTAAACAGATGATGGAGATTCCGTTTAGCTAAACACTTGGATGTGTGCTCAACTTTATAATTAGAGCAATTAGAGACATTTTCTACTTGGCATAGCTGTCATTTGACAATAGTATCATCCTAATCATTTAATGCAATATATTCTCTGTTATCTGAGGAAAGCTGCTTCCCTGTTTTGTATGACATGTTACACTGATACACAAGCAGCATGCTACTGTTCACCACGGTCATGTTTTCTGGTATAATTGGCAAAGACCTGAATTCATACATCACCTCCTTCATTTTTTCTACTAGACACAAGATTGTGTCTAGTGGACACTATTTTGTGGCACCCAAAGTAACAGTTCTAAGGACTCTTTAATGGTTAAGAAGATACATAAGTACAGTTAAAAACTAATATTCTTCTTTGTATTTAAGCTTTAGTTATAAAGACTAAAATTAAGTAAAACCATTTAATTCTAAAATGAAGGGTAATGGATACATGGCTCTCAAAATTTTTTATAAATGTTATTCTTAAAACACAGTGTTCATTTGTTCTAAGATTGTATTTATTCTCTCACTAGCTGAAAAACTTGGTAACAATCAGCCTTTAGTGGCAGTGGGAACGGCTCACTGACCCTTGTCGACCTAGGTCAAAGACTATGCAAGCAGGTCGGTTTAAAATCGCCTCAGCTCTAATCGGCATGCACCTGTTGCATCTGATCTAACAAGCTGAAACAACTCTGTTTACATTATATAAATGTAACGTATAAAGATTTTGGAGCTAATAGTCACGTGTGACATAAAAACAGTGACTCAGGTTGAGGCCAGCTGACCAAATCTACGTTGTTATAGTGTTATTGTGAAGTTTATTCAATAGCGCATATATTCACCTGAGAACTTATGATGTCTTTGTGTTAAAGAACCTAGGTGAATGCACTGAAGTGTATATGAAAATAAAGTAGGGAAACTCATCTCTTTATTTATTTTTATTTATTGTATTTTATAGGCTGATAGGTCTTTGGTCCAAAAAAAAAAATATATATATTTTCTAAGCACCCCCTATTCAAAATGACTTCCAGTGGCCCTGACAAGCTCTGCCTCTCCTGGATCTGTTGAGGCCTCAGAGGTTTGTTTTATAAAAGTGTTGTAAACTTTATAAAGATCAAGGAATACAGCAGACCAAAATGAGTGTAGCTGAGAAATTTAAGCAAGATTAAGTGACAGAGCATCATTCAATCTCTGGTTGTGGATTGACAACATTACTAATTTTCAAAAATTATTGCCAATCTTAATGGTAGGTGCACTTTTATACGGTATGACTGTTATAGACTATTCATCTTTCAGCAGGACGGTAATACTGAAATTCCCTAAACACACCAACACCAAAGTAAAATAAGGCACAGGCAGAATTTTGCTGCAGGGATTCTTTTTTTGAGCTTTTCTAGATATTGTAACACTCAACACACAAGACCTAAAAAGAATCACTAATAATCACTTGTTGTAAGCATGTCTCTCGTTGGAGCCTTACTTTGAAGTTATACCATCATTGCTCAGCCAGTTAATAAGGCCTTTAAAAAGCAAGACTTTATTGAACTGGCCTTATGTGGTTCAGTTAAACAACCTCTGAGGAAGAAAAAAAAACACCTCCACCACTGCTGCACCAGTTAATGTGAATCCTACTTTAGCTCATTCATAAGGTTTATTAGAGTGCATTTGAGATCTGGTGGAAGCTAAAAGTGAAGGTTGCCATGGCAGCTGCACATTGGCTGATAGGACCATCGGGAAAGAAACGCTGCAAATTAATGTTAAGAGCATTTTTTTGTATGGCCTCACCAGCAGAAGCTCTGATGCTTGAATATAAATATTGATTTAAATAAAATTCTTAAGCTGCTGCCACCCTGACTGAATATATTATTCATTCAATTACACTCCAACAAAAGTAAAGTGAGGATATGACAGTAAATGAACAAAGGGGAAAACTACTAGAACTAAAATATTTCTTGTTGCTAGGTTATTTTTTTTAACTTAGATAATGTTACTAAATTATTAATTACAATACATAAATTGAAATGTTTAACTAAGAAAGGGAAAGCTACTTTAATTATTCTTTGAATTGACTGCTTTTTTTGTAAGAACACAAATAGGTTCTTACAAAAATAACCTCCTGACATATTACAGTTCCATCATCCAATTTCATTTGCTGTTTCTTAACTATAAAGATACTAATGTAATGATCACAATAAGTCACAAACTAAAAAAATCTTACTGTATGTCTATAACTTTACGCAAACCTTTGTCAAAACTATATCTAAATATCTATAAAAGGCTTTAGGGTGAAATACAGCATATATATAAGCACTAATAAGCTCCTGACATGTATCGGATTTCTGTCCCATGGGAGCTCTTTGCTCAAAGAGTTCCAAACACAGCCATGCTGAGCATCAGGGATGTGTATTAGATATAATCAATGACTTCAATTTCTGTTCTCTGACAGTGAGATCGAGGTTATCTTGCAAGCAAGATGAATTATCCCGAGATTTGTGAAATAACAAGCAAAGCATCTTGACAGAAGCAAAAAGACACATTAGCCTTGATACAGAAATGTTTCAGACGAATTAAATGCAGTGACGTGTAGGATGTCAAATCATCAACCAGAGACAAAAGGCTAGTGGAAAACAAAGCTGGCTGCGCCATTTTAAATGGATTATCCCTCTATTTCTTTGTGAAAAGAAGCTGTGAGGGACCAATCTTAAATAAGGACAAAAGGTGTTCAAAATTTGAAAAAGTGCTTTAATTTAGTTGTGTAAAAATGGTTAACAAAGGCTCAAAAGCA